ATCCGAAACTAAGAACAACAAATGCTGTGGAAGGTGTCAAGTCACTGGAACTCATAAATTGCTGGCGGGCTTGTAAATACATACAAGCAATGTGGAAAGAGTGATATGGTGGTTCCTAAAACAGATGGCAATATAAATACCATATAATCCAGCAAAACCACTACTGGTCAGATTCCCCAAAGAAATAAGAAAGAGACCACGAGCAGACATATGCTCCCCCATTTTCATTGCAGCATAGTTCACAATAGCAAGAAGTTGAAAATGGCCTAAATTCCCATCAGTAAAATATTGGATTAAAAAACTCTGGTATAGCCAGTGTGTGGCACCCCATCAGACTTGACTGGAAAACCCTCCTAAAGGGGAACAAACAGTCCTTGAACTAACTGCAGGTTTTTCTTTTTTGTCGTTGGTGGTTTTTTATGTGTGTCATTGACATTTTGTTGTTGTTGTTGTTGTTGTTATTTTGTTTTCTTTTGTTGATTTGTTTTGCTCTGTCTTGTTTTTGTGCAAGTTATTATCTCCACAGGTCTGTCTAAATACGATAGGCTGGATGAACTATCTGGAGGAAAAAACAACCGAACCGATGGTTCTTGGTGATATGGGAGAGGGGTACGTAGTGGGGGGGAGGAGAAGGAAGTGGTGTTAACAAACCCAGGGACAAGGGAACAGCAAGTGATCCAAATCGGTGGTGAGGAGGGTGTGGGAGGCCTGGTCGGATGTGATCAGGGTAAGGTAACCGAGAGGAATTAGTGAAACCCAACTGAAGTCTGAGCATGATAGTGGGACAAGAGGAAAATAAAAGGAAATAGACGAAAGAGCTAGGAGGTAAAGGGCATTTATAGAAGTCTAAATACCATTGTGTACATATTTAAATATATTTATATATGAGGGCTGGGAAATAGATCTGTATATATATAGATTAAGTATTAAGTATTAAGGTAGCAGATGGACTTTGGGCCTCCACTCAAGTACTCCCTCAATGCAAGAACACTTTGTTCTATTAACCTGGCATTCCATGATGCTCACATTCCCGAGACAATTGCTGAAGACAAATGGGTGCATAAGCAAATGTGGTGAAGAAAGCTGATGGAACCTGGCTATCAAAAGATATAGCATCTGGGATCTTTAAGGCTTGAAGATAAACAAGCAGCCATATAGCTCAGAAGCAACAAAGCCCAAATGGAAGAAGTACACCAGCCTGTGTGATCATGATGTGATCAGGCATCAGGCAGTAAAGAACAAAAAATCAAATAATTCTGAATGCGGGGAGTGCAGAGTGGGGATCCAACATCCATCTGTAGGCAACTGGACATCCCCTTACAGAAGAGTTGTGGGGCAGAGACGACAGTCAGGGTGCTATGTAGCAACGATAAACCATACAACTTTCCTTTAGTTCCTAAATGCTTCTCCACCCCTACCCCCACACCCCCACTCTCATGATCCCAAATCTACCTTACAAATGTGGCTAGACCAGAGGATATACACTGGTACAGATAGGAACTGGGAGCACAGGGAATCCAGAACAGATGGTCCCTTTGGGACCAGTGCAGAGAGTGGCAATAATGGGAGGGTGGAGGTAAGGTGGGGTGAAAAGGGGGAACTGGTTGCAAGGATCTACATATAACCACCTCCCTGGGGAATGGACAACCGAAAAGTGGGTGAAGGGAGACGTTGGACAGTGTAAGATATGACAAAATAATAATTTATAAATTATCAAGGTCTCATGAGGGAGGGGGAGCGGGGAAGGAGACAAAAACATGAGAAGCTGATGCCAAGGGCTTAAGTGGAGAGCAAATGTTTTGAGAGTGTTGAGGGCAGTGCATGTACAAATGTGCTTTACACAATTGATGTATGTATGGATTGTGATAAGTGTTGTATGAGCCCACAATAAAATGATTTAAAAAAACAACTCTGGTATAAACAAATAATGGAATATTACTCATGCCTGAAAAACAACAATGAAACGCCCCATGACATGGAGGGATCTAGAAACCATTATGTAGAGTGAAGTTAGTCAATAAGAAAAGGACAAATTTGCCTGAGTCCACTGCTGTAGGAAGAAGCAACAGGATGGACGAAGCTCGGCTTGCAGAGCATTCAGTCTACTGACCAGGGTTGCCTGACAGCCTGGTAGAGAGCCTGGCTGGTGCCAATGAACCATCCTCCAACCTCTCTAGGTTTGTATCTTGAGATCACTTTAGCAAAGAACTTCCCAGGTCAGCTGGGATCAAATTGTAAAGGGAGGGGCAGCGGTTGTTGACTACTGAGGGGTTATTCCAGACAAGGAGACATCCCTATCAGAGGGAAAGGGATACAGTTGGGAAAGTCAGGTCAGGAGAGGGGAAGGGAACAGATATGTCTGCAGGAGCACAACTACATGACTCTTGGTAGGAAAAGTGGGAGGACCGACATCCAGGTGGGGGGAATATCACAAAATATTTTTAAAGACCCTAAGTGGGGAGTATCCCTAGGAATATGCACTGAATAAGCCACATTGGCCCAAGTTTCTGGGCACATTCAGCCTGCGGGCCCAGATCAAGTGCCATAGAACCCTGGGGCATTGAATTCTGGGCCTTCAAAGCACACAACATGCTGCAAAGGCTGCACCAGGGAGATCAGTGTGGTAACTCCACCACATGCACTGGACCCCACCACAAACACACGTGTCACCTGAGGACTTAAAGACAGAAAATTCCTGGTGTTTGAAAAAGCAGAAGACAGTGATAAAGATAGAAGGGGCAGTGTAAGATATGTATGAATAACAATACATACTATATTAAGGGTTCCCAAGGGTGGCAGGCCCAGGGGAGAGAGGGAATAAAGAGGGGGTGATATCAAGGGGCTCAAGAAGAAAGATAACGTTTTGAAATTGTTCATGGAAATATTTTTACATATCCACTTAATATATTGGATAAATGGACTGTTATATGTAAGGACCCCCCCATAAAATGCTTTATTAATAAAAATGTATTGAACTGTCAGTTGGTGGATGATCATTGACTTACTACATCTATAATCTATATAGTGTATTAAGATATATATTATTCTGGCAAACCTGTGACTGACATTCTTTATTGTAAATTTTCCCTGACAACCAACTCCCATTGTTGTATAAATAGAATCCAGCCACAAAAGTTTTTATTCTGTACAAGTCAATAATTCAGGTATTGCGATATAAAGTTAGCTTATATTGGCTCAATTTCCCTCTCTCAACAGTGCTTTAAAAAGTTAGTACAAGAGGCTAATCAATGGCAATATTAACAATTGGCCTTTATGCCCCAAAGAGATGATTGACAAGACTCTCTGTCATAAATTATCAAGGAGGTCTCTAAAGGATACAAAGGCAGATTTTTAAAAAACAAACATAGAACCAGGAATGGGTTTGGGGCTTGCACTGAATCCTAAATCCAATTTGAAAACAATTAGTTCTTAAGTTAGCACCCTGCTTCATACTCTCCCACTGGAAAGGAACAAATGGGTGCTATAACAAAGTGTGGTAAAGAAATTAGATGGTGCCCAGCTATCAGATAAAACAGTGTCTGGGGTCTTAAAGGCTTGTTTCGAAACAAGCAGCCATCTAAGTCAGTTGTCAACTGACTCCAGAGGGAAGAAGCATGCCAACATCAGGGAACGAAGAACTGTAAATTCTATAATCCGAAACCAATGAAGGGAATAGTATCAGAGCCTAAACTATGAGATACTGGTTTGCAGAAGGCTGTGGATGACAGTGGGAGCCCAAGATACATTTGTGAGCTCTACATAGGAAATACGCCTCTAGTGATGTACCTCTATCCATAACAGTGGGATGGGAAGAAACTGGTTTGCCAAACAGATTGCATTGGAGAGATGTTTATAGGGGAACAAAATCATAAACCTGACTTGAATGGTTTAAACATTGTTGATCCCCCATGATTTTTTCTAAAAATTCCCCATGTGATTCATGGTGTGCCTGATCTGGTTTTGGCATGTTCTCTGTTTTTTGTGTTTTGTTTGTTTATTTTGGGTTTTAGCTCTGATGTATTTTGTCATTGGGTGTGACTCTTGAATTTCTGTTATATGTTTTTCAGTATGTGAAACTCAGAATTGATGAACCTGTAGAGATAGCAAGTAGAATAAAGGTTTCTAGGGCAGTCAACTGGGGGCTGGTATAAAGAATCTTATGTCACAGAGTTCAAGAAGAAAAAGGATGTTTTGAAACTGATTGTGGCAGCGACTGGACAATACTACTTGATGTGATTGAACTATGGAAGTATATGATATCTGTCTTAACTCCCAATATGATGGTTTTTGAAAAACCGCAAAAAAACAACATCGCGAGAGTGGAACGGGACCTGGGAGCTTTCCTTTGTTGCGCATAGGGTCGCTATGAGCTGGAACCAACATCTAACAATAAACATGTTGACATTTTTGTGGTGCATTTGTCTGTTTTCTTTCATTAATCATACGTTTCATTCCCAAAAATCAAATAACTAAACATTTAAATAATTTAGTGTACCTTCATCCACTGATCTTTAACACAAGCATCATGATATGGTAAATTATTATAAAGATGCCTATATTTATATTTGAGTTATTTATTTCTTCTACTATAACACTTACACAGTCATAAAAGTTTTTGAAGCGAAATAATTGAAGTTTAACAAGAAAATAAAATAATCCTCAATGTTTAACTGATTCTAAATTTAAATGTAGATAATTAAAGAAATCCATAGTACAGAAATTGTTCTAAAAACATTCACAATTCATGCATCAAGCTTTCAATTTTTCCTATTACTATTACAATTTCACCTACTAAATCACCTTAATATTTTGCAATTCACAGAGCTCATCAAATGTATGCTCATTATTTAAATGTACTTATATTTTTCACTAATAGTGTCAATAAAGAACTGAGATTTTATCATTAACAATCACATGAAAGGTGTATATCAATATGAATATGAAAGCATGTTTTACAATTACTAGCTTTTATATGATTGTTTTGGACTCTGATTAAAATTCTATTCCTCCTTTACATCCCAGGTGAACTTCAGAGGAATATCTTTCATCTTCCTTTGGAAGATCCTGTCAAACATCTCACTCTGCTCCACAGTCAGGTAATGTTTCCAGTCTCCAATTGTACCTAGTGAGGTAAGCACACAAACAGTAGCCAGAGGAGACAAGGACATGATGAAGGCCAAGGTTCTCTCCCCACTTAACCTCTTCTCCAAATCAAGCTAAATATTTCCAGTAGGTTACCACAAGGCTTAACCCCTCAGCTCTCTTTATACATGAAATTAACTTAATAATGCTGCCAATGTGGTGACTATATAATCTATTTCTCTTTCTGTTAACCTTCCAACTGCTACCATTGAATCATAATAGTTCTTGAAAAGGAGAAACAAATCTTAAAATGTATTAAAGACTACATTTATTATATGGCAAGCAGTATACTGTATGGATGAATATATTATAAAGTTTGACAAAGAACTGTATAGTGAAGATATTTCTTCATCCTTACTGTTGACCCCCCAAAAATTGAAGTTCAAAATTTTCAAGTAATAAAGTCAAGGGCATAGAGGGTACTCAAAGTTGTCTGTGCTGAAGCTGTATAAAAATTTGAAGAAATTTTTAAACCAATTTTAAGAAATTACGACTTGTACCATAGCTCCTTCAATGACCACATTTAACTTTGAGCATAGTCTCATTGACATTTAGTAAATAGAAAACTCTTGTGGGAATGCAAGTTGCAACGTATCTGATTTAGTTGACTGTTGAGGAGTACGCTGAGAAACCCAAAGCATTTGCCTTAGCTGCTTTATGGTTAGGAGCCATTTCAGAGTCTCTTCTGACATCCACTCCAATCTTTTCATTCTTTGGCTTTTTAAATGACCTTTTGCATTCTTTATGGATGATGTTCTTGATGTCATTTCACAGCTCACCAAGTCTTCTGTCATTACTTTTCAATGCATCAAATTGTTCTTGAGATGGTTTCAAAATTCCGGTGGGATATACAGTGAACCCTCGCCACTTCGCGCTTCGACTTCTGCGGCTTCACTCTATCGCGGTTTTTGCATAACAGCGCACGCTCTGTCATTACTGCCACTGATTGGCTCATACTGTACACGCTTGATGCCATAAATAATATAATAAATAATAAATGATAATTGTAACGTCCAAAATGTTTTACTGTATTTTCCCTTTTTTGTTTAATAAATTGGGTAATACGAGTGTAATGGTGACTGAAGGGTGTTTTTTCATGTCCTCTATGCTCTAACTACGAAAATATTTGATTTACAAATAAGGAATCCTACTTCACGGAATTTCATTTATCACGGTAGGGTGTAGAACCGATTAACCGCGATAAACGAGGGTTCACTGTACTCAAGGTTGTATGTTGGCTCTTGTGGACTTGTTTTAACTTTGACTTTGACTTGAACTTATATGTGGTAAACTGAGAACTTGGATGAGTGTATTTGATCTTATTTCCATGCTCATAACCATGAGCATAGAAAACTAGCCCTATTTTGAGAAAGATCTTCATTATTCTGAGATAGAGATGTCTTCAAATATATACTTTGCATGTCAAATATGTGCACCCTGTAATTGCTTTCCATTAAGGGGTAGTTGAAAAGGAGCAACCATAAAATATGAATCATATCTTTGTCGGGCTGTTCATTATGCCTGAAGGTTTTCTGTATATAAGAGCAATCAGGTTCTACAACCCAACCCAGAGCAAAATATAGCAAACCCTCTTCTGATGTCTCTTGCTGATTCGAATTGTAGATTGTTCCCCTGGGAGGGCTCTGGGGCATTAGAGCTCAACTAGCACTAGGTCAAGATGATGACTCACTTCATTTTCTGTTTATTATGTGACATGCTTATGATATTAGCCATTAACTATGTAATAGGTTCACTGTATGACATTTATGCTTACTGAAAGATTTTAAGGCCCATCATATATACCTATTGGAAAATACACTCACTCTCTTGGTCCTGACATTGGATCAAGAAGCCCCTGTGCCCTGCTGTCTGTCTGTCTGCCTTATTTTCCCTAATCATAAATTCCCTCCTGAGAACATATTCTATTGTTGGGGACTTATACTCCAACACTTATATATAAGCAATTGATGGTCTGCTTCACAGGTGGCCCTTGGCCTCTTGTTGTTGTTGTTGTTCGGTGCCATGGAGTTGATTCTGACCCACAGAGAACCTACGCCCACTAGGGTGAAACACTGCCCAGTCCTGAGTCATCCTCACCCGTGTTCCTATGTTGAGCCCATTTCAAAGCTACAGTTTAAATTCATCTCGTGAGGGACCTCCTCTTTTCCACTGCCCCTCTACTTTGCCAACCATGGTATCCTTTTCCAAAGACTGATCTCTCCTGACCAGCTGCTGATATTGAGCTTCTCCATCATCTCTTACCACAGATGTATTCAATTTGATTTCTGTGTATTGCTTCTGGAGAAGTCCACAAATATAGTCACATTTTGTATTGTTGAAAAAAGTTATTTGTGAAGAAGTTATTAGTCTTGCAAAACACGATCATGCAGTCTCCAGCTTTGTTCCTATCCCCTAGGCCAGGTTTTCCAACTACTATGTTTCCTCTTTGATTCTGACTCACAGCAACCCCCAAACCAGAGGGGAACTGCGTCATTGTGTGGCCAATGATCTTCACAGTAGCAGAGCTCACCTTTCTCCCCTGTTGAGGCCAAAGCATGAGCCATTATGCAAATAGAGCTCCCTGATGAGAATGTTTACAGTGAAATCTTTGAACGTAAGAGGCAGTGGTTAGGAGGAATTTCTGAAACCTATAGATGCACACCTACAATTTATTGCTTGTTGTTGAATAATTGAGTTCAAAGCAAATTGGGTAACCAGATATCTTTCTACTTTTAATGATGAAAATATGAAGTAATTATTTAAGAAAAATAAATACATAACAGTAATCTACCAATCATATATATAGATGAGAAAAAAGATTTACCTTGTAGTATTTTCTGGGAAGTATAGGCAAACAGTTGGAGCTTATATATAATATATGCTCTATCATATTATATCTTATACTCTAAATGTTAAAAGCAAATTCACTGCCATCAACTTTAATGTTGACTCATAGTGACCTTGTAGGATAGAGTAATATTGCTCCTTGCATTTTCAAAATTCTAAGTCATAATTCTTAATGAGAGTAGAAAGCCCTTCCTTTCTTCCTTGGAGTAGCTGGTGGTTACACACACACACACACACACACACACACACACAACTTGATCACATATATACATTACCTTCACACAGACATTGCTAGCCAAATTCAAAATGTCAACATCTAGCCTAGAATCAGGTTTGGCAAACTGCAGCCCTCAATGGAGCCATATGCCGCTGTTTTGATATGTACATGGGATTCTGAAGAAAAATTGAAAATGAAAATAAAAATACTATAGTTTCGTTCACATTATTTTACATTTTCTCTCTTCATAAAAATGTATATATGGCTTGTGAATAATTTTTCAATTGTTGTGAGGGACAGGATTGGCTCTTCTTTTTCAAAGTTAACCAATCCCAGGTCTAGAAGGAAGAGAAGAAGTGTTGATTAGATAGACTGAAGTGTCAGGCTTTGCACTAAAACAGTGTTAAGGTTTCTGAAACACTCTTTAGAGCTATTTTTAGTTGTAAATTTAGATGGCTTTAAGAAACCAGCATCAATTAGAGAGGCATATTGGAAATACCTCTTAATCCCCCTGTGGGACAAGGAGTTAAGGGAACATTTTACATTTTGATGCTTTAAGTCCTGAGCATTACCTTTGCGTAGGAAACGAATATCATCTGTTCTTGACCCAATTTCTTCTTTTACAATTTTATTATAATTTGCTTGTGGATCAGATTTCATGTTTTGAAAAGTGGCTTTTCTCACAACATCATCCACAGCCTCGTCACTCAGTTCTTTCTCAAGAAAACTGCAGATTTTAAGCACACAACTTCTCAGATCCTAAAAGAAATGGTTGGTATGAGAAACTAGTCAGTTTATACATAAGTTAATGATCTAATTTTTTAAGTAACATTTTAAAATAATGTTTTTTAAAGTACAGAGCTTGGTCTTTTAAGTCTAAATTCGACAATAATATATTACTCTATTATTCCTCCTTTGAAAATGAGTGCTTTGGTTTTCAGTTTATTCAGTGCTTCGTCTTGTTTTAAGATAGGAGTGAGTGCTCATTTTCACTTGTTCAATAAGCCAACACTTTTGGAATTTGATGCATCACAAACTAGTAGAGATTTGAAAAGCTGAAGAGAACAATAAAATAATATCTGTATTTATGAAAAGCACAAAGTTTCATGGGGATGCTCATAAAGAGCACAATCAAAGTACAATGGTGAGCTTAATATAATACAATGTGAAATGGTAATAAAGAAAGAGAGCGGTGTTCGGTATGGATTACAAATTAAGGCAAGGAATCCTCACAACAGGACCAGTAGGTCATATCATGATAAATTGTGAAATGATTGAAGTAATCCAGGATTTTTCATCTTACTTAGATCACAATCAATGCTCGTGGAAGCAGCACTTAAGAAATCAAATGAGCAGTTGTCCCTTATCTGCTGCAGAGAGGCTAACACACTAAAATTTTGAATCCACAGCCTGAGATAGCCTGTGAGGCTTAGAAAGGAGAGTATTTCAGTTTTTGTAGAGGGAGTTGAGAGTTAGGCATCAAACTGTGTTTGGTCTACTGTAATCTCTCTGTGGGTTCTTTGTGAGTCAGACTCCCAGATAGATAACAAAGGGCAGAAAAACTGGACCTTAGAGAGGGACACTTGGTACCCCTTATCTGCTAGGAAGTTTGAAAGAACATTGGTGCCAGGTAGAATCACACACCTGCTGCTACTGTTGTTGGATCAGAAGATTAAGAGGTAAGGAGGCCAATATTGGGAGGCTGTGTGCTATAAACAGATTCACTGTAGTAGGGTTTGGTATAGACCTCCCACTTAGATTTTTGCCCACAGAGAAATTGGAGAACTTGCTGAAATGCTCTCAGTTTACCAAGTTGGCCCTGGGGCTCTGCTAATCCCTCACTATATCCACTGGGACAGTGTCTGCCACCCCTTCCAGCACCAAAGACCCAAGAGTTGTAGCATGGAATAATTTCCCCTGGCAGCTGTCTAAAGTTCATCATAATCCCAAGTTTATGGAGAGTCTCTGAGAACTAGCCACAAGAGTTCACATCGGAGTTCCCCTCATTGATATCCACCTCACTCCTGCACTCTTGGGCTTTGCATCTTCCCTCCCCAGCCAAGGAAAAGCGAAGAAAGACATTGGTCATCCACTTTCCTCCACTCCCCAGTTCTGTGCCTGCCAGTGTGGGTAACAATAGATAATTATTCACTCATTTTCAGCAAATGAAGAGCCCCTAGGATATTAACCTGTGATAATGTTGTTCGGGAGAGAACTGGGAGTGATACAGGAGTGCAGCCAGTGGGAGTTGATGGTGAGGAGAGGAGGGTTCAGATGCATTCGGCCCCAAACCCACTCATCTAATCTAGCCCTCCTTCCCTGGGGGACAATGCAGCACAGCCCCAATACTAGGGCACTCCAAAAACTCATTATAAAAAGAAAAAAAAATTTTTGAAAACACAGTTCCAGGCTGTGTTCCTTTGTGTAAATTTAAATATAAGCTGCCAGAAACCTGATCCTGGTCTAGGCAAGCAGAATTCTAATCTCCAGAGCACAGCCTGTGTTTTTTGACATAATAAAACAGGAAAATTCAGGGCTGAAAGCCACAGCCCAAGCCAAAAACTAGCTCTACCAGTTTTAGGCTCCACAGAGAGTCTTTAAAAAACTGCAAATGGTGGCCAGGCAGTCCAGAACAGGTCTGTGCCCACACTGCAGGCTTGCCCCAAGCTGGCTCAGTAGCATACCTACATACAATGGCCTCAGCCTACCCTCTGAGGCTCAGATTGGCTCTGGTCACTGAATTAGAATAGCACCTCACCTACACAGCATTCCAATCTACTGCCATGGTAGGCCACAGGTAGTCCCTGAAACCACTCTTACCAGTCACACAAAGAAAGAACTCAGGGCCCCTCAGTCTCACAAGAACATGGCACCCAATTCTTCCAAAATGACATGCAGACCTAAACATACTGCAACACCCTCAACAAGAAAATAAGAAAAACTAAACACAACAGCAGAAGGCATTGTAAACCTAACGACACGCATTGAAGAAACAGACGTTGATCTTCAACAAAAGAAATCTTCTGAATGCTGATTGGAGTAGTACAGGATGTGAGGGGAGCAGCACAGTACAAGGATGCAATGATCAAGGAGAGGAAGACTTGGTAGAGGAGCTGAGATCCAAGAGACACAAGGAAGAAGTCAGTACAAAATCATGTCCTATCTCTTGAAATTGTTTAATGTCAACCAACTCTTTTGGTACAATGCCTGTGGATTTCCACCTTTTATGATACTTTTTGCTATTTCCGGTGTAATTCAATTTTTTATCCACACAGTCCTTCAATATTACTAATCCTTACCTGAATTTCTTCCCCAGTTCCTTCAGCTTGAGAAAAGTCTTGTGATCTCTTTACTCTTGGTTTCTAACGTCAGGTTCTTGCTCATTTCGTTATTATAGCTTACCGTGTCTTCCACAGCCAGCCTTTGATGGGTTCAGTTTCGCAGTTTCACCTCATCATCCCCGCCCCCGCCCCCCCAGTGACTTTAGCATTTCTAAATTCAAAGCAAATTCCGGAGTCTTTATGACATGCATTTCAGTGTTTTCTTTCTTTTCCCATCTTTTCCATCTGACTATCTCCACGTCCAATGTCCTTGATGTAATCCAACATGTCCTTGATGTAATCCTACAACTCTTCTGGTTTTTGGTCATGAGAGTTTAATTCATTTGGGATGCCACAAAGGTGCACGTTGCTTCTCAGGGACATTTTCTAACTTATTCAAACCTCCTCATACTTCCATGACGGTCCCCTCCAGGCTTGGCCACCAACCTTGTTCCAGTTGATGACACAATTGCGCTCCATAGTTTCTCTCCAGAGGAGGCAATGGTATCACCATGACACTACTTTACTCCAAGGCACCATGGTTTATCATGGAATGAATTCACAGGTCTCTAGCAGGTCTGTTCTTCTTCATAGTTATCACTTCTCAACCAGTAATGAGAACACTCTTCTAAAGATATACATTTTATCACATTTCTATCCTTTTTATAACTCTTTAAGGACTCCTTATTATTCAAGAATGAAAATAACAACAATAGAAATTCACTAACATCATCGGTAAGCCTTGTACAATCTGGCTCCTATATCCTCTGTAGGTTCATGTTTCACCACTGCCACTTAGCTCTCTTAGTTCTTTCTTCAGGTCCTCAGAGCTTTTACGGTTTAAAAAAAGTTACACATTTCATTTTCTTCATTTGGACCACGTATCCAGTCTTCTTCCCTAGTTTAACTTGTAGTTCCAAAGTCACTTCTCCTCAGAAACACCCTGATCATCTTGGCTATGTTAGATCTCCTTGTTAACAGCTTATCTGCACTTGTACTTTATACCAATTATCAGGTTTTTACCTTATCTATACCAGGGGTCCTCAAACTATGGCCCACGGGCCACATGCGGCCCGCCGAGGACATTTATCCGGCCTGCCAGGTGTTTTTGCTCATTTTGCTTTTTAACTTCAAAATAAGCTATGTGTGGTGGGTCGGTGCACTCGGAGCTGTCCGAGTGTGCGGGCAGAAAGGAACCTGGTGGCACTATGTCTGTCTGCAGCTTCTCCGGGGTGAGGTTTTCCAGAATCACTTTGAACCAGCTGTCTAGGTGAGTGCCAAGTGCGGCTACGAGCTGTTCTGCCCCTGCTCCAAGTATGAGCACTTGTCGCTGTGGCCAGCCTTCACGGAGACCGGCCACGATGATAGCGTGGCCAAGCAGGCCGAGAGCAATCAGCCTGATGCCTTTAAGGTGTCCTGCGGTAAATGCGGCCATGTGCTTGGCCACAAGTTCCTCAATGATGGCCCCAAGCGGGGGCAGTACCGCTTCTGAATATTCAGCAGCTCCCTGAAGTTCATCCCTACAGGCAAAAAATCTGCCTCCCAGGGGAAGTAAGCCGGCAGCCCAACCCCAAGCAGCCACAGGGATTGGTCACCCCTAATTAGAACTACAGCCTACTGACCTTCAGGCAGGAAGGGCTGGATGGGGGACGGTGTTTCCTGAAGACCCTACCCCCTGCGCCAGGATGGGCCTGAGGGCTGGTTCATCTTGGCCTCCAGGCTCGAGGCTGGGACTGGTCTTAGGGTGTCTGTGACATAACACCTTGGCTTCTCTCCTCAGCCTGGCGGCCCCTCCCTGCCTACCCGGTCTCACCCCTATGAGCCCCAATTCCCAAAGAGGCTCCAGCCCTCACCAGGGCCCATGCTGACCCCCTAAGTTGTGTGAGCAGATGCAACCACTACAAGGCCATGTCCCAGTCGGTGGCTCCAGCCCAGTCCCTGCATGAATCGCTCTGGTCAAATCCTTCCAGGCTCACCAGGGCACTGATGGTCTGTGACCCGCTGGGGCATGCAAACCCACAGCAACAACCCCTGAGTTCCAGGTCTCCATCTGTGTGGGAGAACAGCCGCTGATCCAGGGTCTTCCTACCAGTCCCTGGTGGGGCCTGGGAGGTCGTCCCATAGTCTGTACCGCCAAGCCTGCCCCAGGAGAGTGCGTCCAGAGCTTCTGGTGGCAGCCCCACCCTCTCCAACCTCACCCTCTCCAACTTTCTGAACTGATCGGCTGGAAACTAATAAAGCAAGGAGACCCAGCAGGCCGCCGTGTCCATAACTGGGTCTGTCTCCACCCTTTTAAAAAATGTGCAGTGAGCATAGGAATATGTTCATAGTTGTTTTTTTTAAAACTATAGTCCGGCCCTCCAACGGTCTGAGGGACAGTAAATTGGCCCCCTGTTTAAAAAGTTTGAGGACCCCTTATCTATACTCTCGGAATGAATACAAATCTTACATGTAAACTATAAGCTCTGGAAATAAAGGATTCTTAAAAGAATATTCTCTTTAGAGTAGTTACATGCCTGTCCTATTGTAGGTGTACAATATTATAAAGTAAACTCATGAATAAAATTTGTTTTAAAATAGTAATCAGATCACAATGTAGAGTTTTGTCTTATTTAAACAATTCTTGAAAGTTATTTGAGTTGATAGTATTTAAACCTGATTTCACATAAAATCTACATTTCAAATTTCTCTATACAACAAGGAGGATATACATCATAGGACACACATTCTCATGTGGCAATAATCTGTCGCATCTTCGGAATGGCTTCTCATCCCAGTGCTCCACCTGCTCTCCTCCCTCATTGTCTATGTCCAGCTGTCTGGACCTTGGGTTTTGCCTTGATTGTTACACGTAGCTACATGAGACGGTAAAAGGCTGAGAACACTGAGAAGAGACCTGTCAGCAGTGCTAAGAGAGATACTAATTGAAGGATGAGCAGAAATTGTTTAGTTGGTAAGTGCAGGGAGTCAAGTCCAACTCATAGCATCCCTGTGTGCAACAGAACAAATCACCTCGGGTCCTGGACCATTCTCACAGTTGTTCTTGTGCCAACACAGCTTGGCAAGAGCCCTCCTGTGTGTCACTGCCCCTCTACTTTACCATGCATGACATCTTTCTCCAGGAACTAGTTTCTCCTGATTACATGCCCAAAGGATGTGAGACAATGTCTCACCATGTTTCCTCTAAAGACCATCTCGATTGTACTTCTTCCAAGACAGATTTATTAGTTCTATTGGCGGTTCATGGTACTTTCAACATTCTTGACTAGTCCCATGAGCCAAAGGCATCCATTCTTCTTTGGTCGTCCTTATTCAGTGTCCAACTTTCGCATGCAGATGAGACAACTGAAAACACCAGGACTTGGGTCAGGCACACCTTATTCTTCAAGTTACCAGAAAATTACAAGTCCCAAAATGAGTCTGAGCTGGAGCATGTAGTAAGATTCAGTGAGAACTCGGAGAACGTTGTTCACTGACACCAGAAGAAGAAGGCATTGTAGGGAAAGAACAGTCACAATCATATAACCCTCCGGTCCTACCTTCTTCATGTCTTCGTACCTCAGAAACAGAACATTGAAACTGTGTCTGTGCTCGTACCAGCCTCTGACGTGATCAAACCAAAGGCTTCCCACCACTGTGGGGAAAATTAATATTTAAAATAAGCAATTAATTGAGTTAATAATCAACATTAAAATGTAATGAGTGTAAAAGTTGTTGCATTTTTAAAATAATAAACTGTATTCTCTTTTCTGTCTTTCAGTGCTCAGAGAAAATATATTTCCTGTTACTGGATGTCTGTATTGCCTTCTTGGAAAATGGATAGTTCCATGCGGAACAGCCACATCATTTTAATAGGAATTTTCTTTATAGAAAGATACTTTCTGTACAAAGGAAAGCAGCAATGCAGGAATAAGAAGGTCACAGTTTTAACATTTATTTTCCTACTTCCTGTATCTTCAAATATGTTTTTATTTATCTCAATGTTCTCTATTCTATGATTTTGAACAGCAACTTTAGCTATCAACACTAAAAAGAAGACATAATATTCTAAACGAGTAAGATCTTGTTTTATGTTCTATGAGGTTTGTGCCCCAGTCTGTATTCTTCATTGGACTACAAACTGTCCCCATTAAATTAATTCTGACTCCTGGAAATTCACTTCTTGTCAGTGGAGTAGAATTATGCTCCCGAGGGTCTTTAGTGGCTAATATTGGGGAAGCAGGTTGGCAGGCACTTCTACAGAAGTGCCTCTGCATAGACTTGGACATCTAACTTTGGGGTTAGCAGCTGAGTGTGTTAACATTTGCATCATCCAGGGCATCCACTCTGGACCTAATTAATATCAATTGCTAGATGTTTGTGATTATTTTATAATATTACCAAAAGATTTCCTATAATATGTGCCTATGTGACCTTTACATTCCTGAAAGTGGTTCTTACATAAATTGATACTAATAGATCAGTATCATAAAATCATGCACAATAGTAATTACTCGTATGTAGTCTACCTTGAATTATCTTCCTTCTCTAACCACAATTATGTTTCTTAAACTTGAGAACTTGGCCAGAAGTCATCAGTACATCATAAACAAGTTGTTTGATTAATAAATAGTTACCTTTTCCATCAAGAAATCTTTTCATGAAGTGCTCTATACTATCTACATCTTCTAATGTAGCCAAAAGTTTTGTAAAGTGAAAATAGGAGACCAAAACATCCTTAGGATTTCTGTAGACATAAATAACCTACCAGGGGGGAGGGAGAGAGATAAATACTTTCAACAAACTTTGGTTATTTTTCCTAGATATTTACACATGCAAAATATATAATTACACAAATTCACAATAAATTATTCACTTAGCCTACTATTTATGGAAATTATTTAAATAGTTTTATTATTACAAAGAGTGCTCCAATAAATGATGTTATTCACATGACATTTCCTGTCTGTGCATGTGAGGAGGACACATTTCTACAAGTGGAGCTGTTCACTTGTCAGGCTTGCATATATTGCACATTGGTTTCCACAGGACCTGCCCCAATTCACCCTTCACCAGCAATATGTGACCTTTGACATCAAAACAAAGCAAGATTAGGGATAAATGAGGAAAGAGAAAACTATTTTGTCGATGGTTTTAGAGCAAATGATTATACAACTGGGGGTAAAAAACAACAGCAAATCTTTAATACTAAATGAATGATAAGGTCAAAGACTTAAATGTGAAAACAAAGTTTGCCACAGAAAATATTTGTTGAAGAGATATGTCTAGTTTCAGGAAGCTTTCTAAAACAAGAAAATTTTATTAAAAATAAAACTGAATTTACCTACAATAAAATTAGGAATTATGTTTATTAAAATTTACCTAGAAAACTTATAAAAACAATGAAATATGAGGGAAGCAATATATATTTGAGCAATGCACAATAGTCAGAAGAAATAATTAGGCAAAAAAAGACATGATAAATGGTTAATCTTATTATTGATTAGGGAAAAGAAAATTAAGATCCATTTGAGATATCACAGAATCAAATTTACCAAAACTTAAAAGTATGCCAAGGGTAAGTACGAGGGACTATGAATCAATTTAAATTAATAAGACTATCTTCTTTAAAAAAGAAAGCATCATGTTAATAAGTTGAATATTCCTATATTTATTGCTTTGCAATTTTATTCAGGGTGAATAACCTAGGGGAACTCATGCAGATATGCACCATGGGTGAGTTCATGAATATTAATAACAGAGTGTGTCAAAATAAAGACACTAGTCTATCCCAATTATGTAGTGCAGGGCATGTATCACTCACTCACTGACTGCTATCATGTCAGTTCTGACTCCTGGCTCCCTGAAGGACAGGATAGAACTGCCCCTGTGGGTTCCTGAGACAGTAACTTATGGAGATGTGGCTCCTGGTTTTGACCTGCTGACCATTAGGATGGCAGCCCAACATGTAACCACTATGCCAACAGGACACCTAAGGATGAGCTTAGAGAGAGGCATACTCATACAATTAAAAATAAACTTAGAGCAATGAAAATCACATTTAAATTTAAGAATGAATAAAAGAATACAACAAAAATTTAGGCAAAATGAAGATAACTGTTAATTAAAAACTTTTTTCTTTTATTATTATTTTTTTAATATATCATTTTATTGGGGGCTCTTATGGCTCTTATAACACTCCATACATTAATTGTACCAAGCACATTTGTACATATGTTGCCATCATCACTTCTAAAACATTTCCTTTCTACTTGAACCCTTGGTATCGGGTCATTTTTTCACCCCTTGCCTCCCAAGAAACTTTATATTTCTTTCCTGACTTGCTAAAGACAAAATGGTGCATAAGCAAACATGGTGAAGAAAGCTAATGGTGCTCGGCTATCAAAAGATATAACGTCTGGGACCTTAAAGTCTTGAAGATAAACAAGTAGCCATGTAGCTCATAATCAGCAAAGCCCACATGGAAGAAGCCCACCAGCCTATGTGATCATGAGGTGTCGAAGGGATCAGGTATCAGGCATCAAAGACCCAGAACAAAAAATCATATCTATGTGAATGAGAAGAGCACAGTAGAGACCCAAGGCCCATCTGTACACAATTGGACATCTCCTTACAGAAGGGTCACAAGGAAGAGACTAGATAGTCAGAGTGCAGTACAGCACTGATGAAGTATACAGTGTTCCTCTAGTTGTTTAATGCTTTCTCCCCACACTATCATGACCTCAATTCTACCTTGCAAATCTGGCTAGACCAGAGCATGTACACTGGTACAGATGAGAGGTCGTAACACTGAGAATCCAGGACAGATAAACCCCTCAGGACTAATAATGAGAATAGAGATACCAGGAGCGTAAGGGGAAGTTCAGGGGAGAAAGGGGGAACCGATTACAATGATCTACATATACCCCCTTCCTAGGGGAACGGACAATAGAAAAGTGGGTGAAGGAAGACAGCGGTTAGTGTAAGCCATGGGAAATTATTTTTTAAAATAAATTATCAAGGGTTTGTGAGGGAGGGAGGGTGGGAGAGGGGAGAAACGAGGAGCTGATATCAAGGGTTGAAGCAGAAAGAAAATGTTTTGAAAATGAAAATGGCAACATATGTACCAACGTGCTTGACACAATGGATGGATGTGTAGATTTTGATAAGAGCTGTAAGAGCCCCCAATAAAATGATTTTTCAAAAAAAGAAGAAAGAATTAATATATTTTCAGCATTACAAATAAAAGAAAATGATCAAATCAAGAATTAGAAAATATTCATCATACAATGACAGAATATATTTTCATTTGTTTCAATAATTTTTAAAATTTAGATGAAATGTTATAACTTGTTTTGAAAATATGAATAATGCTGATTTAGGAAAAAGAAGCTAACTCTGATATTGAAGCCAAGCAGAGATAGAACAATCATAGAAAATCAGAGATCGATTTTTAAAAGTAATTAATGATAAAAAACTGAGTGGAAAATTTTTAAAAAGGGTCCTCCATCAGTATGTTAAAAAAAATACTGTTCTATGAACAAGCACAGGCGGACGGTGAGGCCATCTGCTCTCACAAAGATGGACAGCCTCAGAAGCCGGTCAGAGGTCACTGCGACTCAGAATCAATCTCTGACAGTGGTTTACTTCTCTGTTTCTGTAAGCAAGTAGGGTTTATTCCAGAACTGAGGCATTTCTAAGTTAATCAATTAATTATATTGTACTATATATTGAAAAAGGAAAAAGAAGACCTCTTCAGTGTTATCCCACCCAATGCATATAATATAATTACTTTTCTGTGAATACACAAATGTAAAATTAAAGCTTCAAGTAAATTAAGAACAAAATACATTTGACTATGTTCCCGAGTTATCCCTAGTAGAATAAAAACGAAAGACCTAATTTACTGAAAATTCTGGAGAATCCATAAAAGAGAAGGATATCTGTCATAATATTTTAGCCCTACACATTTTGCCTAGTGACATAGAAAAGAAGGAAAATATTGAAAACAATTAAAAATTAGACATATTATCAGTTAAGATGATAAACTAATTATACTAAACAGAAAAAAGAAAAGAATAATAAAGTCAAGAAAATATATTTAAGAGTACGGAAATAGTAAACTAATGTTTTTGCTACAAAAAGATATATTTAAACAGAAAGTTCATAGTATAAAAAATTTATACTCATAAAGCTATAAAAATGTAAGCAAGTGTACTGAGAATTGGTTCAATAAAAAAAAGAATGTCTAAAGTGATCAGGAAGATCAATATTAAACACATTTAGAGGCTATAAAAGTCGGCCTAATCAAGAACCTTAGAACGGTACTGGATAGAACGTTGGAATATTGCACTGTCAACCATTGTCCCATAGTTAGTCTACACATTTAGTAACTTCCAATTGGCATCTAAAATCATTAAGGGATCAAATTATTTTAAAAATTGTTGTAAGATTTACTTTATCAGAGTGGACGTTTTCATATTTGTAATATTTAGAGCAGTAAAAAACTGGCACAGATGAATGATCTATTAATAGTTGGAAGAAAGAATGCAGAATCAGAAAAGAATATTTAGCATATCAAAATATAGAGTCCAAATATTTGGGAAAGGATATTCTTTAATAGATAATGTTGAATAAATGAACTAACTTGTTGGACAAATATAACAAAATATTCATACCTCATAGGACATGTAATTTTAGGTATAGTCTATAACCAAATATTAATCTATAGCCAAAATAAAAGGTAGACACTAATTAGATAAAAAGCCTAAAGAGTATTTACACAATCTTGTGGCGGAAGAATATCTTAGCAAGACACTAAATATAGAAGTTATAAAGGAAAGACTAATGAACTGGTTATTTAAAATAAAAGGCTTTCAACAATGTTTAAAGATAAACGATTTCTTGGGAATATATTTCTTCTATACAAATGCTTTCACTCCTTGCCACAATGTTAATTCTTACTGTGGGTGCCCATGTGTTTTATCTCTACAGAGTAAAACTGCTCTATGGAGTTTTCTTGGCTGTATGCTTTACAGAAGTGTATCACTAGGACTTACATCCTTGGTGCTAATAAGTAGATCTGAACCACCAAAGTGAAGATTAGCAGCCAACCTACAGTTTACAGATCAGGCATCAACCATTTATACCTCTCAGGGATTGTAAGTACATCAGACAACCGCTAAACAAACGAAAGGAAAACAAACAAAAGAAAAATGCACAAAACTGTAAAAAGATACTTAAAAGCCTAAGAGTATATTAAAAAGATGTTCAATTATTGGAAATTATAAGCAATTCAAGTCAGGAGCTTTGCTTCTTTTTTTGTGTGTGCAGCATTAGCCAAAACGATCATTTCAATGGTGAGAAAGAAGCACTCGTATGTGGAAAACAATATTCTTGAATGCTGTTTGAAGAAGTAGAAGTTGGTGGTTCATAAAAAGCAAGTTGATAATACATTAACAAGTAAAGTACTTATATTTCACCTTTAGGAAAATATTTTACTAGACTAGAAAAGTACAAAGATCTAGAGGAATATTTATTACAATATAGCATATAAAATGTATTTGCTGTAACCTAGCAGTCCATGAATGCTTTACTAGTAGCTCACAATGAAATTTTATCAAGCCATTAAAGTAAATGGAGTTTTAAGAGCTGACATGAAAGTTATTTATCTACATAATTCATGTAAACATGCATGGTAATCCAAGGTATGTTTTTCTGTGTAATACTCTATTTGGTAGTTATACAATCGTTTGTCAATTTGAGAGGATTAAGAGTGAATGGGTGAAGTTTAGCCTGTCAATCAGGTCATAGCCAATGAGGCCTCTGTGTGGGCATGGCCTTCTCCTGAGGTTTCTGGGAACTCTGGTATTCCTCCTTGGAGGCGGGATATACTCTCTTGCTCTGCTCACTGTCTGGGAGACATTGCTGCTGTCAAGGCACATGGAACTACATTAGTGGCCTGAACTGGAGGAGCCACGTGGAGACCCCTGCCAGTGCTGAGATGTTTACAATGCCACTGGATCCCCAAGACTTCCCACTCACTGGCGTGTGATTGTCCTCCATTTGGCATCATTGCATGTGTTTCATGAGTCTGAAGAGGAATCTATATATTGTTATCAGACATATGGGCTAATATCAGACTTATGCACTTGATCTGGACTGGGCTGGGATGTTTTCTCAATATTCAAGTGCTCTTGTATCTAAAGCTCTTTCATATACAAATATGAGCCTCCCTAGGTTTGTTTCTCTAGTCTCCCCAGACTAACACACTCTATATATTTGTTAAACATATAAGATAAAATATTTGCAATAAAATAACTAAAACATTTGAAAGAAAGTGGATGAACAAGGCCAGAGAACAAGACACGTCTAGGGGGGAAAGTCTATAGGAAATTTCTACGACATACTTTACTTTTGTTGTTCCTGAGGCCCTTTGGAACTAAATAATACGGAAGGTGGGAGGCGAAGAGGCGAGGAGACGGGCGCACGGAATGGTCAACTTTCCTAATATTGTACTCCAGAAATGGGGCTCTATCCATTGAATCCATATGTGAGGTTCTGTTACGGTGACCTTCGTAATAAATCAAGCTTAGTATCTGTTGAGTCCAGATTGTACCTGTAAGAATACATAATCTTGTTTCAAATACAAATTGACTCATAACAGCAAATGTAGTCATCATGCTCTTCATCTTCCCACTGCCCCTTTTGATTTGAGCTTGCTGTTCTAGGCACAGCGCCATGAACAGACGTAAAATTATCCTGAAGGTTAATCATTTCAGCTTTATTTCTTCATCCACTTCCACCACTGTCAAACTTTAGGCCAAGCCTTGCAATTTTTTCCCTGTAAGTAAATGTGCGCATGAATAAAGGTGTTTTTAGCACCTTCTGTGATCCACCAGGATCATTCTCAACCACATGTTATATTGACAGTCCTGAAAGACTTAAAAATAAAAACAAGGAGGTGGGGGTGGGCGGGGAGGGGACACAAGGTCTCATTGCTGTGACAGGTCATCATTGTCAAAGGCCTTTTTTTTTTTGAGACATCAGTGGTGGATTCTATGCATCGTGTAATATGGAATGACACCTGTTGGAAAATTAAATGCCGTGGAGATAATATTAATAAATAAAGCATTCACAATCTAGAAAGAAAAAAATTTTGGACTGAGATACAGGTCTGCATTGTTTAACAACAATTTGGACAATTTCCAACTACTTACATATGTCCATGGTCTCACCGGGCTTTTTGTGGTTATTGTTTTTCAGGGTAATCAGTCTTCTCTTGTTTATTATTCCCCTCTAATGGTTATAAAAACCCAAACCTGGAGCCTCGCAGCACTGGATCTTAGATGGGATACAGGTTGTTGAAAAGAGAACATGGCTTTGTGCTCTGTTTCTGGCTTTGTGAAGTGGGCATGCAGTGTGGCTATGGGCACATGGCTACACTTGACACTCAAGTGGGACGTGGTGTTCTCTGCTCCCTCCATACTGGCTTCCTCTTGCTCTACTACAGGAAGAACCTCTCAACCACCAGTGCTGCCATTGTCCAGGCCCCAGACTTCACCAGCAGCTCCAGCGGCACCAGCAGTTTCAGCAGCGGCAACAAGGAAATCCAGAAGCAGGATCTATTCGAACTGTAATATAGCCTGCATACAATCTCCATCTCACATAATGTCCTCTATCATAGAACATACTGTGGAAATTAAGTGACATGTGCTTGTACTTCCAAGCAGAAGGTATACTTTAAAATGAATTGATCAGTCTAGGACTACAAAAGAACCCTTCACCCAAAATCCCTATCCAACAACATCAATAGTTTAAGCCAAGACTTGCTGCGATCCACATACAGCGTGTATATCACATGCTAAGGAATCATCCTGTACCCACCCCCATATTGCGGGACGCACTGAAGTAAGAAATTAAGGACAAGGATGATGACCTCAACTTGAACAGAGTCCCGTTCCTCTTCACATAAAGCTCTGACTCAGCCCTAAAAAAGAGCGGCAGAAAGAGCACGTGCCCTTTCATCTACGCCCCAGGGAAAGTGACAGGGAAAAGGCTGGATGGATAAATTCGATGAAACACCAACAATATGTGCTTCAAAGCGCCCTTTACTCTCCTGCTAAGAGCTATCTCACTTTCCTCAAAGTGAAATGTCCTTTTGTAAGGACACAATGACACCCAGAATGCTCTTTAGAGGAAGGACAGAGAAACTACATCTCATAAACTTTTCACATGTTGTCAGGAGACTCCTGTGCCTGGAAAAGGACATCATGCCTGATAAAGAAGAGGGGCAGCAAAAACATGGAAGGAAGGCCCTTGAATTCACATAGTCGCTGCAACAATAGGCCCAAACTTAAGACCAACTGTGAGAACGGTCCAGGACCTCTGTTTGGTTTTGCAAACATGGGGTTGCTATGAGTCAGAAAGGGCTTGGCAGCATCTAAGAACAACTATGCCAATGATGCAATTTACTCCCCCACCCCCCACTTTTGTCTAGGGTCTGATTTTAAATGTAATATTCCCTCTTGAATATGATGTTTACTATAGTCTTTTGGTAGATTCCTTTAGCAGATTAATAAAAACCTTACTTTTCCCTCATTTGCTAATAGTGTCCATTCTGAATAAATGCTGGATATTATTCAATGACTTTTCTGAGGGATTTCTTCTGTTGTCTAGTAATGCAGGTCAACTATAATAATAGATTTAAAGTTGTCCAACCAATCTTGACTCCTGAAATAAATGTAATGTTTCCAGATTATTTTTCCAAATAAAATAAATGTTTCCAGATTATTTTTCATGGTTATATTTGGTTTGCATTAGGGGTTAGAATTTTTGCTCCTATGTTCATAGATATACCACCAAAGTTCTGAGATGCAAAATATTACAGATATCATTGCTTAATTGACTTATCTACATTATAGATTAGAAATAATTTATGGTGGATCTTGAAATACTCAATATTCTTCCCTTCAAGGTGAACAAGAATCCTTCAGGGTGGAAGAAGCATTGGGTGGGATGGCCCAAACACTTGAACCTGATTTTGGATGCCCTATTCTTCTGCAGACTATAGTGCTTTAACTAAAATTAAGCAAAATTGGTTGCCAGAGACATTAAATAGTGGAAAAAAATAAAAGAACTTCAGTTTTGTTAGATGGAATCATCTACCCCCAGAATTTTACATGATGAAAGAATCTAAGGATAAAGCAAAAGCGTTTCTAAATGAACATGTGATGAACTTCAAAGTAGAAGATAGAGAATAACTGGAGAATTTCTATGAGGAATAGTTTCTATGGTACTAATTCAAACTTTCATATAACCCTGAGAGGCATTAGCTACTCAATAGAACATTGCTTCAATGCCACCATATGTTCTATGTTCTGGAAAGTACAATTTTAAACTAAGCATTGGTAATTCAAGGGCAATTTCTTTTACTTCAAAATAATGTCCTTACTATTGATAAATGTTAAAAATTACAAGTAAAAATGCATTAGGAATTATTATTACCATCAAATGTAAACAAACAAATATGTATTAATACACTGCCACCAATTCAATTCCAACTCATAATGGTCCTATAGGATAGTATTGAGTAGAACTGCTCCTTAGACTTCCTGAGGCTAAATCTTTATGGATGCGAAGAGTCCCATTTCTCTCTGTGGAGTAGCTGGGAGGGTTAATGTTCTGTTAATGAAAACTTGTTCATCTCTGAAATATGTTTTCTCCCATGTCAACATGTTATCACCTTGCAAGTAATTGTTCTTAACTCAATATTTGATTTCTTTATAGTTTTCATCAAAGATGCCATCATTTCCATTGTAAATGTACTCACAGCATATATATTTGCGCTTCATGTAAGTTTTTTCTGTTCCTGCATGATGTCCAATATGTGCATACTCGTGTGAAGAAACCAGAGTAACGACGGGTAACAGAGGACCCAGCCCTGCACTCACCAGATTTGGGATATGTGACTATGACGACATCTTCATCTCTAATTTCCAAATCATCTAGACTTTCTACTTGGTCCATATCAGTCAAAGCACGCTCAAAATTATAGCCTTTAAAGGGGAGTAAATATGTGTCCTCATCCATTATTAATCACCTACAAATAAAAACATGACATTATTTTCAAGTTCATAGTATTTTATAAAAAATAACTTAAAGATATTGGATACTTAATATAATCTGGGCAACATTTAAGTGTCGTATATCTTTTAAACTCATTTATCATGGTAAACATTTCACAAATATCGAGTCATTTAATCTTTATAATAACCCAATATAGTAGGCATTGTTATTATTACTATTTTAAAAACGAGAAAACCAAGATTCTTAAGAGTTTTAACAGTGTTCCCTAAACTCACCTGAATGAGGTACTATCATCATTTCAAACATATAGTTGAAGGAAATTAATTAAATTTCTCAGAGTTACCCAGCAAGCAGAACACAAAATTAAGATTTGATAAAAGCCTTCTGGATACAGAGTGTTTAATTCCAATCACTATATAGTTTATTAATATTTTATGGTGTTTATTTTCCATTTTCATTGTTGTAGCAATAGGAAATTCAATATACTTTTAGTAAATATATTTTTAATTATTTGTTTTTTCCAGAGCATGAATAATCTGCTGTCTCTGAAAGATGCTTCTGAGACATTATGTCTCTTGATATGTGTGTTAGGTCCGGGTGACTAGAGAAAAAAATCCAGTGACACTCAAAATGTGAAGAAAGAGCTTTACATCAAGAAATAATGTATATCAGGAAAACATCCCAGCCCACTCCAATTCAAGTCCAGTAAGTTCAATACTAGTCTTTAAGTCCCTCTGCAGATTCACAAAGCTACATGTAATGATGCAGAATGTGGGAATATCACTGGTTGGTGGGTACAAAGTCTATCCCCATACATCCCCATTTTGGGTATCCAATTTCTATACTTCCCTTTCTATCAACCCAGTGCTCTGAGGAGACAACTATGTTCTTTGAGGTGAAGAATCTTCATTCTAGCTGGAACCTTGAGAGTTCACATCTATAAGCAAAGTCAAATCAGGACAGGTCATCTATAAATTAGCAGCAATGTTCACCAATTCACAGGCTCAAACATCCTATCTGCATCTGGCCGGGTTCTGGTTGACACAATGTGAACCACCTCTTTTAGCCTTACCAGGGTACACATTGGCCACCTCGCCTTTAGACCATGGGGCCCTTCACAAATTCTCCACAATCCTATTCCCCTTAGACAAGGCCATGCCACAGGCCCAGGCTCTTCTCAATTCTTAAACTTCAGCCAAACCTACCTGCTTGGTCTCATCTCTAGTCTCTTTGAACCAGGTCCTTGGGTGTCAGTGGTCATATTCAACCCACCTCTCTATTGCTGTATTTTCACCACTTGCACTCAACAAGTGGATGGAAGTGGTACTCTACCAAGCATCAGAGTCTGCCAACATCTCTCTCAGCAAGGCTTTTCAAATTCAAATTGAAAAGGGTGCTGGGGTCTACCCCTAGCACCGAAGTCACTGGGTAGGACTTTTATTTTCTAAGCTTT